TATCTAATACTTCTCTAGTTGCTGGCGCAGCCGAACGGATCGGAACACTAGTGGACGCTGCCGCAAAGCATGGACGCAGCCCGACGAGATTCTCCCGAGCTCTCCCACTTGGACTGAATTCATTCCATCCATTCGAAGGAACATGTTGCTAGCCCAGCGCCAAGGTCCCGTCGACCAGGACTCTTATTCTGAGATGACTTTGCAGGATCAAGTATCAGCAGTACTTGTGATTGGAGGAATTCTGTGCTGGAGAGGTCAGAGAAGGATTGCGAAGTTAGACGATGGAATGCTCAGTCTAAATCTAAAGAGGGAAAGAGCTCAGGTGGGACTGAATCATTTCGTTCACCCGAAGCTCTTTGCAGGCCACCCAAAACTTGGGCGAAAACTGTTGATATTTATGATTGAAAAATTACTCGAGTTGGAGATTTTGTAATTTTTTTATGATGGACTTGCAGAGAGTTTTGTGACATGCCTTTCTTATAGTAGGGCTATCGGCAACGACCCCATCACAATTTTTGTAGCTTTTCCAGTAATCCCATGTCACCATGTCGTATAGCCCGTCTTCCGGATCCAATTCGTCTCTTCCCAATGTTGGCTGACAAATGAGCAGATGCTTATCATTTAGAGGTGATGGAGATCCCTAAAAAATATCAATATTGATTCCCAAAATGACACTGGAGCTCCTATCGAGCGTGGCAAACGGAGCACGTCATAGCTCATTTCGGAACTCGTTCAAGATAAACCATGAACAATTCCCTTGCGAGATTAAAAACTAACGTTCTTGACACTTTTGGCCTTGACTGCAGACCACTGCTCGAATAACTGAGCCAGTTTATCCAATCCTCCATGGTGGAAATGGAGAATCTGAAAATATTGGATACACCAGCAGAAGCAATTGGCGATTGGTATGATAGCAAGATTGATTTCAGCAGTCAAACATAGGTGCAGGTGAAACTTAAAGACACTCCCCGCGCTCGAGCAACTCGTAGGCGACCCTAGTTCTACAAGTAGCTTGGCCCCCAGTCTCTACGATCATCCTACTTTCGCGGCTTTGCAGTAAGTGACGTAGGCGCTCTAAGCGGCATTTCTGACGCCTTCCTAGTTAAGTGTGGTTCCCAAGATCGAATCAGTCTTGGTGGCCGGGATGCTTGCAGGTCTTTGGTTT